TATTGCAACAAGGAATAAGCCTCGATCCATCCTCTAAACCAGGTGATTTGTCCCAGAGCCAAACATGGGATTAATCAACGCCCTGACAAATACAACTATACGGATAGGGAATGATCCCGAAGTCTTGAACACAGATATCTACCTAGTAAGTTCCATTACAACTTACAGTGTCAAAACAATGATATGTGCTTCATGGCTTAATCATGCAAGTGATGTAATTATTTCCCCCCTCCCCAATATTCCCCCCACCCTTTCCCTCCCCTCCTCCCCAGACTTCCCAGAGCAAAATACAAGGTATTTCAATTAACAATCATAAACTAAATTAACCTATCTATCCTCAGACTACTAAATCCCCCCTGAAACCTTAACTCCACTATAGATAGCATAATACTTCTAATACTTAACGTTCATTCATAAGCTATTTGATATTTTCTTGTCTGATACTTTTTTTGAATATAATCAATCCATCTTCTTCATTCCGATACCTATCTTTCTTGTGTATAGTCCTTCAAATACGCTGAGATTTTCGCCATTTCTGCTAAGTTCGTTACTTTCAGTATCCACTCTTCAATAGTAGGCACAAAGTCCTTCTTCCAGTATTGCGCTACCAACAGCCTAGCTGCTGATATTAAGTTCAAAATCAATTTAGTCTCTAATACTGTACAATCCATTGTTATACCCAGTAAAAACAATTGAGGAGTAAATTTCAACCTTTTTTTCAGAATGTTCTGCATCACCCACCAAATTTTTATCCAAAATGCCTTGATTTTCTTACAGGTCCACCATATATGATAATAGGTTGCATCATCACATTCACATCTCCAACATTTAGCTTGCAAATTCGAATACATGCATGATAATTTTTTAGAATCTAAGTGCCATCTATAAAACATTTTATAAAAATTCTCTCTCAAATTTTGTGCTTGTGTAAATTTAACATTTCTGACCCAAATCTTTTCCCATGTTTCCATCATCACTGGTTCCTGAAAGTTTTGTGCCCATTTTATCATACAATCCTTAACCAATTCCGTTTCTGAATCTATTTCCAATAAAGCATTATACAACCTTTTAATATGCATCTGACTTTGATGTTTTATTAATTTTCAACAGGATAACTGGACCAAACTTTTGCCTTTTGCTGAAGTTGCGTTTAATAATGCTGTACTTTCAAACACTGGTTTTACCCCTTTTAGAGTAGCGACAGGCCAGGATTTCAGTCCCATGCCTGAACTACCCACAGAAGAACCCACCATCCCCTCACTTAAGGAGTGGATGGATAATTTGCAAAACACATGGCCAGTGGTTAGATTAGCCTTAAAGGAAGCTAGAGAGGCTTTTAAAATTCAAGCTGACAAGAAAAGGATGGAACCTAAAACTTTTCATGTTGGACACAGAGTATACTACAGAGTAAATTCCTGAAATCATTACAACCATTAAAGAAACCAAAGCCAAAGTTCATTGGACCTTTCCCCATTACTAGAGTCATCAATCCAGTAGCAGTTGAACTACTCCTTCCAAAGACACTCAGGCAAGTCCACCCAGTATTCCATATCAGTTTACTCAAACGAGAAGTAATCTCATCCCTCAGACAACCTGCATCTACACCACCTGTTCCCATCATGATTGAAGGTGAACAACACTTTGAAATCAAGGAAATCCTTGACTCTAGGATCCACAGAGGGAAAATCCAATACTTAGTCACTTGGAAACATTTACCATCAGCACACAACGAATGGGTCGTTAAACACCATGTTAGGGCTCCAACCTTACTGAGAAAAGTTCACTCCCAATACCCTAATAAACCTTATTAATATACTATCATGAAATTTTGTTTATATTTGTTTTTTTTTTACAGATGGATCCTTTCATTTTCTTTTATATTTTACACATACACACAAAGATACAATGTATTTTTGCTGAACAGAGAGAGTATTTGGCCAGTTAACAATTTAAACAGTTTTTAGTCCTTTCAACTAAAATTACAATTTCTATACCTCCTTTTTGGCATAGTATTTATTTTCATCTATTTTTTACCAATATTACCCTTCATTTTCATCTCTAATTTTAACCAAATTCCATTTTTTCCTTCTATTCTATATTAAACCCCTTCTCATTGTCATCTGTTTTTCTATCCATCATCAAATAAATTAATTTTGTGATGTTACAGTTATTCAATTCTTATAGGAATAGTAAACCCACTTATTTTATAACATACATTTCCTTAAATAATAATACAGTCCAACATTTTAATATAAATCAATTATGTAAATATCTTTTTCATTTATATATTCAAACAAGTAAAAAAAGAATATAAACGTGGATATTCCAATTAGTTCCATTTTCATACAACAAATAATTTTCCCCATATGTTCCTCCAAACCACATCTTAATCATTTCTACTTTCACCACGATATGCAATTAAAAATATTTCATTTATTACAATTTTCTTAGTTAAATTTTTCCCCATATATTGTTCCAAATCATCACTTAATCATTTCTACACATTATCTAGATTTCAAAAATACAGATGATAATATTCCAATTATTATTCAATTCGTTTTCACCATATGATTTACCATTATTTCTTACTACAATTCGTATTTCAGTTCTAGATATATGCATTATATTCCTCTTTCATTTCTTTCTCCTTTTCTTCCTTTTCCTTTTCCTTTTTACTTTTTATTTCCTCTTTTTTCCTTTTGTGCTTTAAAATTCTGATCTCCCCTGTTTTGCCCTATATTTCCCGTTGTTCCCCCTCTCTTTTCTCTTTTTTTTATTTCACTACTGTTTAGCCCACTGTTTAGCCCAGTATTATCATTCTGTATTTCAAAGTCCTGGATTCTTCTATTTTGCCCTATATTTCCTGTTGTTTTCCACCCTTTTTCTCTCTTTTTTATCTTTTCACTGTAAATCCCAGTGTAATCATTTAAATTCTTTATATTTTTTCTGTTCCACCCTTCTTTCCTTATTTGTCTCTTTCCATCCTCTCTTTTTTTCATTGTTAATCCCAATGTAATCTCTAAAAACCTCCTTTTTATTATTACTATCCACATGTTCAGTTACTTTTTCATATTTAATCGCATTGTCTTTATCTTCCTTATTTTCAGCCTGTGTCTTGCTTCTCTGTTTTTATTTCCTTGTCAGCTTGTGTATGCTCTATCTCGATTTTTATGTCCTCAGATTTTAATTGGACCTCAGAATCCAATACCTCAGTGCCTTCCGCTGTGCCCTTAAAACCCATTTTTTCCAGCAAGCCGGGCTGGTTTAAGAAGAAATTTTTAAATGTTTTAATTGGTTTGTGATTTTTAATTTTTGGGCCAAATTTATATATATTTTAATTGTTTTTTAATATTTGTATTTCATGTTCTTAATTCTGGCTGTACATCGCCCTGAGTCCTCAGGGAGAAGGGTGGTATATAAATTGGAAATAAAATAAAATAAAAATAAAATTCCCCATGCAGCATTGTAGTTATTTCTCTTATTTCCATTTTCCATAACAAGTACATCGATTTAATCATTTCTCTAATTTCCTGTGCCATTTTATTCTTTTTGAGTTAGTATTATTCCAGTTTTAAAAGTTCAATTGTATTCCATTCCCCCCCCCCCCAAAGTCATGCTGCTTACGGACAATGCTTAACGCATTGTAAGCCGCCCTGAGTCTCCGGAGAAGGGCGGCATATAAATCAAATAAAAAAAAATGCTTAATCTGGTTGCCCCAGCTTTGTGACAACTGCAATGGCTGCCGGCCCCCGCCGTCGAGTCATAGAGAATTTCCTCTGACCTTCGAGGAACTTGCTTGTTCCTTTTGGTCTTCCGAGATGCCTCTCCTTCATCCCCGTCCCTACAGAATGGTTCCGGTCTGAAGACCCCTTGGCGGCAGTTCGTCAGTCCGGGTTTTTGCACAGCTCATCAGAGCCCGCTACTTCCCCGATTGTCTTGCCGCGATGCTTCTGGTCGAATCCCCGACCTTTTCGTTTTCTAAGGAGGGTAGCATGTCAGATCCCTAAAAGTGATACTGCCAATCAATTGGGAGAAGGGGAAGACTTGAATTCGATTTACTAGCATTGCCTGTGTCAACAGATATTTTACAACCTATATCATGGCGCCAAAGAGGCCTGAGATCCTCTTAACATGGAGGAATGTTTATGATAGCCATGTGGGTTGTTTCACTTTAAAGGATAATGGTGTGAATACGTTTGTTCAGGTTCTCAGGTAAACTAGTAAAGAAAACATTTTCACACTTATGTATTGGCTAAAATCTGCATTCTGACTTAAAGGGAGGGGTCTCTACTGCTTTAATCCTACTTGTTTTGCCTAAGGGTATTCAGATCTTGCTTTAACTTGGTTGCTATCACTTCTGCTTAATAAAAGCAGAACTACCACATGAACTACCATGTTTCAAGAGTCTTTACTTTCTTAAATTGGAAGGAGAGGCAATCCTTACAATAATCCTGAGCCATTTGCCATCAAGAACAAAACACTTCATCGTTGAAAAAGTCACCATCCACTGACATTATTCATCATTGAAAAAGTTACCTTCCACTGACTTCTTACTCGCTAATTACAAAAAGACCATCCATAAAAATATATAGGAATATCAATATTTACTTATTTCATTTTTAGCTTAAACATAAAGCAAGAAATAAATTATGAAACATGGCCTACAATATTTACTAAGTCTATCTATGCACATATTTTTTTAAAGAAATAAAGGGAGCAGGCTTATTTACAAAAACACAAGGTGATATTTGTTCTGTTCCAAGTGCTAGATCTACACTTTGAAAAGGAAGCCCTCAGGGATGACAGAAGCAGGTGTAAATGCTTTGAAGTTGTCTTTCTAGATGGCAGCTTTGTCCTCAGGATACAATTTACCTTCCTCCCAAAGAAAGCAGAGAATTAACTGAATTCTCATCAGTCTCTGGCACATTATATCTGTTCCCACACATTTTATGTCAATATGACACTTCCCACTTCAATGAGATCAAAGGAAAACAACTTACCAATATACTTCCTCCAACCGTTGGCTGTCTTGCCAGACTGACACCCATCCATTCATCATCTCTATCTTCTTTACATGTCTTTCCACAGAATGTTCCTCGAACATTAGCTAAAACAAATGCAGGAAGAAGGGTGGGAACTTAGAAAGGATGAAGATGGCATCAAGTATATCTACAGGAAATGGCACTATAGACAACAGACCATTATTTTTTCCATCTGATGGATTCAGAATTAATTTATCTTAGCATAGTGCACTTCTCAATAAAGGAAATACTTCATGGAAAAAAATTTACCAACTTCATCAGAGACTGACAATTCTTTGTCAATCCTGGTATTAGATATTCCATGGAAAACCTATATGAAATCATTATTAAGATATTGGCTAAGAATAGTTACTTTCTAAAATGTTACATTTTAGGGGTTATATCAGGAAAGAAAGGATCTAATCCAGGTGTGTCAAACTCGCATCCCATGGGCCAGATGCATCAAGGGCTGGCCATGCTCACCCTGGTTTAGCAAAGGAGGGGAAAGTCACGATACATCACATGACAACAACATGATGTTGCGAGTTTGACACCCCTGATCTAATCTCTCTTAGCCAACAGAGTCATTTCTGGCAAATTCCCACCGGCTGTCATTCATAGACACTTACCATATTTTTCGGTTTATAAGACGCACTTTTTTCCCGCCTAAAAAAGGATGGAAATGTTGGTGCGTCTTATATACCAAATACAGCCATTTTTGGCCTCCCAAAGCTCCTCCCCACTTGTCCCATTTTTGCAAAAAATGGACCCGTTTTTCTCAAAAACAGGGTGCGCAGAGTGTTTGGGAAACCTGCAGAGTGCTCCAGGAGGCTGGGGAGGGCAAAAACGCCCTCATTTTGGGGGAAAATGGTGTCGTTTTTCACCCATTTTTAACAAAAACAGGAATGTTTTTGCCTTCCCCAGCCCCCAGGAGCACTCTGCAGGCCTGCCAAACCTTCCACATGCCCCATTTTTTTGCAAAAACAGCATTTATGCCCTCCCCCCAGCCCCCAGGTGCACTCTGCAGGCCTCCAAACCCTCTGTGCACCCCATTTTTGCAAAAACGGGCCTGTTTCTTGTCCTTTTTTGCAAAAAAAGGGTGCGCAGAGGGTTTGGGAGGCGTGCAGAATGCTTCTGGGGGCTGGGGGAGAGCAAAAACATCTCCGTTTTTGCGAAAAACAGGCAAAAAATGGGCCAATTTTTGCAAAAAACAGGGCATGCAGAGGGTTTGGAAGGCCTGTAGAATGTTCCTGGGAGCTGGGGAGGGCAAAAACCTTTTTTTTTCTTACTTACCTCTTTGAAATCTTGGTGCGTCTTATACACCAGTGCGTCTTATAGTCCGAAAAATACAGTAGGCTGTGCTAACACAGAGAGTAGCAGTAAACATGGATAGCAAATCATTCCAGAAATGGCAGGTCTAATGTTTTTTCCTATCATCAATTTCAGAAAGCTATTAGAGCATCAAGAGCCTTTGGAGTCATGAAGGAGAAGTCATAAGGGGAAGGACTGGGAAAATACCAATCTCTAAGGCACAAATCCCAATTTCCAGATCACTTTGATTCTTCAAGCTAACAGAAAATAAACACAGATAAGGACCATATTCTGTCCAATGATTCTCATTCCAATGCCCTCCCATACTGTATCATTTCTAGTTTAAGAAAATCATTTCCTGTACATCAACTTGCATACAAGTAAATGAAGATAGTCAGAAGAGATTTTATGCAAAAGGTTCTATGTTTCTTTGGAAGAAAAAAAATGTGCTCAAAACAAATAAAGTGAAAATGAAAAAGTTGTGCTCATGCATACCTCGACCCATATCCAGCTCTGTGCACCTCCTATCAGGGTTAGTGTGAACCCGACATTTGTATACAGCTCCTGGGGACTTAAGAGAAGCACTGTACTTAGAATCTGCCTTTGGGGCGCCAACCAAGATCCTGAAAATTAAGAGCAAATAAATGTTTAACATCAAGAGAAGCAAATACACAAGTTTCACAGTGACAATTCTCTTTTTGAGCTCTTGTTTTCCCTCCAGCCATGGGAATCGGCAATCACCCACAGCTGTAAAATAAGACAAGGCCTTTCCTTCAGTAAATCCATAAGATATTTGAAGGAGTAAAAAACCCCAAAATAATGACAAACTGAAAATGTTTCTAAGTAATATATTCTCATCTCCCCCAAATAAACTGCTAGGAAAGAACAAGAACAAAAGGTACAGCTTAGCCTTTTGATATAGTGATAATGTGGGGAAGCCATAATTTCTTACTTAAAGCAATAAAATTTGTCATTTGCCCCTAGATCCAGAGAGTTGTAGGCCGTGAATTCTGAATTTACTTATCAGCTAAGAGATTTTATTGCTGTTAAACAAGAGCTAATCTGTCACTGCGTTATTTTATTTGCCAGCTGAACTCATCATTTCTGGACTGTCAGACTCTCCGTAGCTTTGCCAACTTCTTATCAGTAAGCTACGTGTTTCTGTATCCACCCACATTCCTTCACTTGCTCTTCACACTTTTTCCTTTGTTCTCTTTCCAGCAAGGTCCGGCTGACATAGCCGGCAAGAAGTATTTTCAAAAATGTAGCAATTAACTTTTCTTAGTTAGTGAGGTGTTTTATTTTCTTTATAACAAATAAATGAGTTTTATTAGAAACCTTTCTCGCGTTTCTTTTCAGAATAGTGCAACTTGGAATAAGCCTCGATTCATCTCCTCTAAACCAGGTAATTAGTCCCAGAGCCAAACATGGGATTAATAAATGCCCTTCATTCCAGCCTGAATTGAATAGAAATGTTGGTTTGAATCACATCTGATTTCATCCTAGTGTAGTTCTAGGTTTATAAATTAATACAATCTATGAACTCAACCTATTGTTGTTCGTTCAATAAACAAAGGAGACAGTATCAACAATGCATATGATGGCGAACCTGTGGCACGCAGAGTCATATTGGTGGGCACACGAGCATTACCCTAGTTCAGCTCTGGCACATGCATTTTCAGGCCTTCTGGGCCAACCAGAAGTCGGGAAACAGGCTGTTTCTGGCCTCCAGAGGGCCTCTGTGGGGGTGGGGAAGGCCTGTTTTTCGCTCTCCCCAGGCTCCAGAGCCTTTCTAGGAGCCTGGGGAGGGTGAAAACAGCCCTCCCCACCCCCTCCCGGAGGCCCTCAAGAGGCCAGAAAAGGCCAATTTCCCGACTTCTGGTGGGGCCGGAAGTCAGGAAATGGGCCATTTCCAGCCACCAGAGGGCCTCCAGGGTGGGAGGTAGTTTTTGCACTCCCCAGGCTCCTAGAAAGGCTCTGGAGCCTGGGGAGGGTGAAAAATGGGCCTACAGGGCCAACCATGCCATCACGTGCCAAAAGCGGGGAGAGAGCAGAGGGTCGCACACGCACGCACGGGGGGGGCATTAAATTATGGGTGTATGCATACATGCATGCAACCCCCCCGTGCTCCCCCCACTTTTGGCATGCAACTGCAAAAAGGTTCACTATCACTGCCATAGAGTGTGTGAATCACCAACAAATATAAGAAATCTACCATACAGAAAATTCCATGCCTCTTTCATTTATTCAAAACTGATTTCTGGAATAAACATACCAATACACAAGGTCTACTATAGATTTATATTCCCTTTCTCCCATCCATCCCAATCCTTCCCACAAGGTTCTTCTCAGGTCTGCAGCATGGTTGCTAAAGGGAAAAGAAGAGGTACCCTTAAAAAGGACTGGACAATATTTTGAATACAAACTCCACACTTTCCTAAAACTTATGGGACACTATCCATTAACACCATAGTATCACTAGAAGAGCCAGGGGCAAATATTTTAACTATTTGTTTTTGGAGAGTTATGTTGGAATGGGTACAAGTACCCCCTCATTCCCACACATTGTAAGATACCGAAATGCCCCCAAATTACATCTTTACTGTCACAATTTTAGATTGATGGGGAGTAAAAATACATTAATGTAGTTCACTCCGATCTTAAGGGTACAATATATTAATTAATTTACAGTGCTAATTACCTTTACTAGCTTTGTATATTAATAATACTGGTTTTTCACCTTTACACCTAGAAAAATAACCTGAGAAGAATGTTTTTGCTGCTTTTTTGGCTCTCTCTGGCTTCATTGAAGCCAGAAAAACTACATACTGAAACTTAAACATTAGAGGAAGGGGGGAAGTGACTATATTAACAGTTTAATTTCTCCAAAGTTTAAAAGGCTAAACTATTCAATTGTATAATTCTGACAAGGGCTATCTTCTAACTAACAATCTTTTTACAAGTGGGAACAATGATCCAAACCCTTAAATTAGAGAAAATTACAAAGTCAACAAACTTTGCTGTTACCAAGCTCTGATTAAAATGCCAAACAGCTCACCTGCACATATATATGACTAGATTTCATTCATTTAACTTTACTGATTCTCCAAACTCAGAAACAATCATGAACAGCCATTCATTTAAAACAGTGGTTCCCAATATGGGGCCCAGGCCCCACAGGGGGACAATTTGATTTTTAAAGGGGGCAAAATGAAAATAAACTATTAACTGAATTTTTAAAAGCTTGCTAATTGTTCTTATATATTTATGATGAAACATGTGTTTTGTTTTACCTATTGTTGTCTTTATTAAAGTGCATTTTCTAGGGCCTGGTCTGAAAAGGATATCCCAGCTGGGAGGAGGAGGGAGCAACTGTCAGCCAATCAGATGTGTTCCCACTAAGGATCGTGGGACTGGCAGTCTCTCTTTTTCCTGTGGGCTTTGCTGCTGGGTGATTGCAGGGAGAGCTGACAGAGTGGATGGCTGCTGGGGGAAGCCCAGCAGTGAGGATACAGAACCAGGACCCAAGTTTAAATAAGAAATTGTTAGGTTTACAAACTGTTACTGTCAGTCATAGTCTTGAGGCTAGTTATGAAATTTCTTTACTCATTGCTAAATTTGGAAAAAATCATACTATAGGGGAGGATTTAATTAAACCATCAATATCAGCATTTCTTAAAACAGTTCTGGAAAAAGATGACAAAGATGTGAAAGCCATGCCACTCAGTAACAATACTGTTAGCAGAAGAATAGATGAAATGAGTGAAGATATTGAAACACAAGTTGTTGAAAAGCTGAAATCAAGGAAATTCTCAGTACAAATGGATGAATCAACTCTGAGAGACAATGAGGCCGTATTGCTAACCTATGCAAGATATATTGATAAAGGTGAATTTGCTGAAGAAATATTATTCTGCAAATTATTAGAGACCACTACAACCACTACTGATACATATAATAAGCTAAAAAATTACTTAGATGTCAAAAATATATAAATGGAAAGCATAACATCTTGTGCTACAAATAGTGCTCCTGTTATGATGGGCAAGAAAAATGACTGCTTAAAATTGATGAAAGATGAGAATCCAAAAATGCTTCTTGTGCACTGTGTTATTCATAGAGATAACTTAGTATCCAAAAATATTTCTCCTGTTCTTAATGAGGTACTAAAATCAGTTATAAAATGTATCAATGCTATAAAAGCTAATACCAAATGTGAGTGTCTCTTCAAGCAATTTTGTGAAGGTAAAAATGCAGACTATGTGAGACTTGTACTTCACACTGAGGTAAGGTGGCTCTCAAAGGGAAATTGTTTGAAAAGATTCATGGAACTATTTGATGTTCTTAGTGACTTTTTAAGTGACAAGCCTGAAATGAAGAAGCTGCTAACAATTGATGATAAAGCGTTTGTGAGTTATTTAGCAGATATTTTTGAAAAACTGAGTATGTTGAATAAACAACTTCAAGGAAAAAATAAAACTCTTGTTGATGCAAAGGCAAAGATATTTGGCTTCATTACATTTATAGCGTTATGTCAAAAACATATTTCTGACAAAAGTTTTGACATGTTTCATTGGCTTAAAAAATGTGATGTGACTGATGCTGCTGTACTTGTAATTGTGGATCATCTGAAAATATTGGCTTCTGATTTGAAAGATTGATTTTCTGATTAAAACAAATTGATTTTCCAACATGGGTAGTGCAGCCAGTGCTGGTGGATCTATCTGATGTTTCAATGCAGTACCAAGAAGAATTCTCGGAAATGCAAAATGATGAGTCATTTAAAACTTCATTCAATATAAAAGAAGCGATAGCATGGCTTTGTGATGGGATAGAAACTAAATACACAAATTCAACCTACTTTGCAAGAAAACTGCTGTTACGGTTCCCATCTTCATATTTAGCTGAATGTGGCTTTAGTGCTGTAAATGATTTGCTACTGAAGAAATCGACTGAATATCACTGAACAAGGAGACTTGAGAATGAAGCTGACTAAATTGGAGCCTAATATAAAATCTCTCTGCAGCAGGCATCAAGCATCTCACTAACTTAAGTAGATTAAAGTTGCAATTCTAAAGTTGCAAAACATTTTCCCAGGAGTAAGCCCCATGGAAGACAATGGTGCTTACTTCTGAGTAGCCATGCATAGAATTGCGTTGTAAATATGATCTTGAGGTGAGCTCAAATTGTATTTTGAATTTGTTAGGTACCTTTATTTTAATATGTATAGTAATTAATATGATCAAAGTATTACAGAAAAAGCTTTTATTAAAATTATTTTATATTTATGCATTTCAGTTCTCTATTATATGTTTTGAAACTTTATTTGCTGTTTTTTTCATATCACTTCATATTTTTTAAGTTCCTCAGTACTTCTACTGTCTTTCATTCTTTCATTTTTCTCTTTTATGGATGCCATGTTCTTTAGAACCTTGTTTAAACCAAGTTACTAGCCTTTTAGGCTTCCTCCACGTGAATAGGAGTTCACTTTTTGAAAAGTAAGAATTATATGTTGGGCGGGGAAGCATCAGGATTTTAGAGACGCTTATGTGGGGCATGACCAAAAAAAGGTTGGGAACCACTGATTTAAAAAATGTCAATTTACAGTTCCCAAATCTAAATT